ATTCTCTAATCTACTTTTTTTCCCCCCGTAAAATCTGTGAGAACATTTTAAATCTCATAGAGATAAAATTGCTGATTCAGAGGATATACACATCTTAAAGTTGTTTTAAAATGCGCATAGCCCAACAGTCTGCTGAAATGCCCCAATTTATGACTGCAAAGCTGTTTGAACTGCAAGGTCGGTTGTTCAAACTCACCAGCAGCTTCTCAGAAAACTTATACAAGGTCACTATGGGTTGGAACTGACTCGATGGCACTTAACAACAACAACATTTCAAGGGTGGCACTGTGGATCAGCAGTGGACTGCAAACCACAAGATCGGCAGTTCAAACCCTCCAGCTGATCCTTGGAAATCCTACACAGGGTTGCTATGAGTTGGAACCAACTTAACAACAACAAAATTTGTCTAGTAGGAGTCTAAGTGTGGCACTGTAGGATAAGCACTGGACTGACTTCAAGGTTTGAACAGCATGGTCTGTGGTTCAAACTCACCAACTACTCCTTAGAAACCCTATAAGGGTTGCTATAAATCAGCACCGACTTGACAGCACTTAACAACAGAAAGGTCTGTGTTTCAAATCCACCAGTCATGTCTCAGAAGAAGACTGAGGCAGTGTCCTCCCATAAGGGTTTACAGAGTCAGTAACCCTGTGGAACCGTTCGCCATGGATTAGTATGAATCATGGCAGAATCAACTTGAAGGAAGTAGGTTTGGATTTTTCAAATATTTGTCAGAAAGTGTGTATATGTCCCAGTACCTTGGTTCATACTGGACTTGTGATACTTTAGGTTTTCTTGGAAAAATAGCAGTGAGATATTTGAGGAGTTCTGCTAGCATAGTAGTTACAAATCGGGCTGCTAATCTTACAGTCAGCAGTTCAAAACTACCATCTGCTCCGCGGGAGTAAGACGAGGCTGTCTGCTCCCATAAAGATTTACAGCTTCGGAAACCTGGTACAGGGTCACTATGTGTCGGAACAGACTCCACGGCACATAACAACAACAACAAAGTTAATCTGGAAACTTACAAATGATATTTTACTTGCTTTGTTTAGGTTGTTTTTCCAAATCTTGGTTATATTAGGAACAGTGGATCCTTCTAGTATTTATTGTAAAGATCTGTGAAACTGTTGAAAGCAAACAGTATTATAAAAGTTATTATCCTCCTTAGAAATCATATATATGACACAGATAAAGAGATTGATTGATGCTGTATATAAGAGAGGACTTCAAATAGTTCATGAAAGAGAATGGATTTCTTCCCGGAACTTTTTTAAAGCCCTCGGTAGAGCTATGTGGATCTGTCTCTCTGTGCACCTGTGTACGTACATATATAAAAACTGTCACGATTGTTATATTAACAGAAGGACACTTTCATGTTAAAAATGTCATTATTCAAACCATTTTCTCCTGGCATGATCAGAGCTGTATCTGTTTAGTAGTTGTGAGAATGGAGGTATAACTTGAATTCAATACCCACAATGTCTTGACTTTGGGAGTCCTGGTGTGACACTGTAAGAAAAGCACTGAACTGCTAACCGCAAGGTCGGCTGTTGAAACCCACCAGCGGATCCTCAGAAACCCTATACAGGGTCAGTGTGAGTTGGTTGGAACTGACTCCATGTCACTTAACAACAATGTCTTGACTTTGGCCTAGCCTAGTCCTCACACTTGAGAATGGATTTTAAGGTTTATTCCGTTAACAGAGTGGATATTATTTCGTGATGAACAACATTCCTGACGCTGGGTTAGACTTATGGGGAAACCTGTATGAAAGCGCTCAACCACGTGTAGCTTTTTCTGGAATTTTTCTATTCACATAAAAGATGGATTTCTTGTTTGGAAGTAACTGTGCTAGCCTCTATAGATGCTGATTATCACATAGAAAACAAGTGTTTGATCAGATCCAAATCTGAGAACTTGGTGTCCTATTCTGAGAGGGGTTGGCCAGGCCGCTGAGCCAGGCCAGGCCAGGCCACAGGGATTAGTGGCAGCTAAGTCAGGCTCCCACCATGTGTCCTGCACATCTCCTCCTCCAGGCTCTGGGAGGAGCAAGAAGCTCACCCACAGAGTCAACAAGAAGCTACTCCATGTGGTCTTTGCAGAGTCAGCACCAACTGTGAAGGCTGCCTGATATCCTCACTTGCTTTGTTTTGTATTTTTTGTAAGCTTTCCTGGGGCATGCCCTCTGCATAGTTTCAGGGGTCCAACTGGAACCCACTGGAACAACATTCATTTGGGGGCCCTGCCAGGAATTTGCATCACAAAGGCCAAAGAGGCCAACCTTCTTGGGCTTTGTAAGGGGTTGTGTGGCAGAAAATTCTTCAAATAGGATCTACCCCTCCCCAGCCCCCTTTGCTTTGTCTGAGCATCATTGTCACATGGAGTGATGGGAATGAGTAGGGGTCACACAGCCTATTTAGAGAAAAGATTCTCTTCTACCGGGGACAAGAATGCCTTTCCTCGGTTGGAGGTGAGAGATGTCTGGCCACTCTGAAGCATAGCCTTTCCACATTGATTTCCTTGGCAGGTCATGCTTCTTAAAAATAAAAAGATAAAATGAGTATGGTGCAAGAAATTATTCAAGATAGGAAACACAGGCAAATTGTGGAAACAAGTTTTCTTCATCTGAAGCCAAAGTGAGGATACAAAAATTTGAGACATAAAAACACTGGAACGAAGAAATGAATTTATCCAAAGCTAAGGTGTGACAGCTTCAATGGGCTCAAGTGTGACAACCACTGTGAGGTTGGCCCAGGACCGGGCAGTCTTTCATCTTTTGTACATAGGGTCACTATGAGTTGGTACTGACTCGATGGCACCTAACAATAACAACAAGGCGTGCCACTATAGGATAAACATTCAAGTTGTCGGTTCAAACTCACCAGTCACTGCTCAGAAACCCTGTACAGAGTCGCTATGGGTCAAAAGCAACAACAACAACAGTGTCTAATGTAGGACATGTCGGAGAACCTAAGGGTGCTCAGGCCGCAGGCTAGGAAGTTATTTTGAAACTTTGCATTGAATGCTTTACACACACACACAAACCTTTATGAATTTTATTTTAAAGCAGATTCAAGAATAAAACAGATAAGTCCTGTTAACTCTTTTCATCTAAAGAACCTGTTCAAACGTGTGTCTTTGTCCTAGTTGAATCCTTTAATTAAAAACTTGTAACCTGAGACTGTACTTGGAACCCAGTTGCCTTGCTTCTACTCTCCCTCAATCTGGATTAGTTCCTTAGTGGTTCCTTGCAGTTTTTGCTTGAGATATTTTTGAAGATTATAGGTCATCCATTTGATATAGTATCTTCCAATTCAGGGTTTGCTAAGAGGTAATTTTCAGGAAACGGTAAGATAACAATGCTCATACAGATATAAAAATGAAACCTATGTTAAAGAATTGTATTTTACGCACCACACGGGGGGGAACCAGGCGATGTCACAGTGGGCTCAAAGGAAAAGTCAAAAAACATGTATTTATATGAAATAATATTGAGATGAATTCCAAGGGAACAAGAAAACGAATAAGTATTTTTAAAAGAAGGACAGAGAAAGGAGGTGGGGGGTGGGGAAAAGGAGGACGAAGAAGAAAAAGAAGTTCTCTATATACAGTTTAATCCCCCACTTTTACCAGAGACTATGTGTGGCGTTGTGGGTTAATGCATCAGACTGCAAAGCTATTTGAACTGCAAGACCAGCGGTTCAGGCTCACCAGCTGCTCCTCGGAAACCCTATACAGGGTCACTATGGGTCGGAATTGACACAACGGCACTTCACAACAACAACATAGTCTCCTTGTGGTTAGTTAGGTTTCTGAAATGGTTGTATTCCATGAGGTCGAGAATGTAAAACTCAACTTTTTCCCAAGAACCAAATGATTCATCATCCAATCATTGAGGTCTACTCTGTATGCGCCTGACCTTGCATGACTAGTGACTCAGAATGCAGAGCTCTCCCGGCCTTCAAGGAGTTGGAAGGACAGCTGGAAGTCCTAAATCCTAACTCAATGTTTCCTCAGGACCTGAGGCATGCCGATGCGGCTGTCACCCAGTCTGATAGAAGGTCCCAGAAGACGTTAGGATGAGATCAGGTGTAGGTAGGACAAAACCAGTTGGACACAGAGGGGAGGAATATTCCTCCAGTACAGAGGGAAGAACATATTTAAACCATACTCAAAAAACTATTGTTTTGTTTTTAGCTTATTAGACCCAGAATTTTCAGAAGCATAATTGTCATTCCTTGCTAACAGATGCCAACTGCACTTTTTTTTTTTTGCGAACTACCATCCCAGGGTTCGAATCTTGATGTCAAATACTATTGCAATGTGCTATGTGTCTTCTTACAGAAGAAACTATAATTTCTCTTAAGAGAAAGTAGAATGAGTGGTCATTTTACCAAAGAAATGTAAGGAGCAAGGCTAGGCATACCAGATGTTTTTTCATAGTTGTGTATATACTGAAGAACACCTGGTCTACTATTTTTTGACCAGATTTTTAAAATAGAAAATAAACTCATTCTTATCTCTAGGAACGTTCCCTCATGGGACATGTACCCACTGTGGTCATAAGTAAATGCAGTAGGTTGGTGGTAGTGGCTTAGGTTGTTTAATGATTGTGTCTTACTGTGGCTGTTGTTGCTGTGTGCCTTTGAGTAAGTTCCAACTGATAGTGACCCTATATAGGGTTTCCAAGGCTGTACCTCTTCACAGGAGCAGAAGGCCTCATCTTTCTCCCGTTAGAGAACATTAAACTATTACTTTGAGTGCATTATGAAATGGATACATTTTCCTTGCTTCCTGGCAGTTAAATATGATTGACGATACCAGTGCTTCTGATGATGTTATAGTTCATGTTTTCATGAGTTAGAATGGACTTAACAGTAACTAGGACCAGCAACATATGTAACACTGAGTGTGTGTGTGTTTAAGATTATGTTCTTTGTGTAAAATATCATGACTTTTAAACATGCTTCACACATGATTGTTTTTATCTTTTGCAGACGATACCAAAAATTGCAGAAGATCATGAAGCCTTGGTAAGAATATTGACAATTTAATACTTTTATCTTCTCAACATAATTAAATTCTATCTTCTGACTGATTATGTATTTAGGTATAACTGTTCATGGAGATGTTTTGAGTGAGCGAAATTTTTTTCTGCTTTTGATGTTCTTCTAAACAAGTTCTTAAAAAAAAACTTACTTCCCTTTTCTTTTTTCTTTGCAGTGAAAAGGGTATTTAGGCTTGTAACCACTAAAAGATTACTTTAGGATTGGTACTTTTCTCCTGGAGCAAGGCTAGGCATAATTTGGTGTATTGCTTTAAACTAAAACTTTCTTTTTTGTGGCATATGTGATGTTCAAAGTCAAAGTTTTTAATTTTCTTCAATGGCTCAGTAAGAACATGATTCACATTAGAAAAAATCAGTATTGAAATACGGAGTGAAAATTAGCTAACTGGAGTCTGAGAAAGTGCTCAGTCACCTACACTGAATGGTAATTGTTTCTGGAGGTCTGAAATATGCACAAGAGCTTTCCAACCCTCAGCAAAAATGCTGATCACCATCACATGTGAGGTGGTACAAGACTGCTCTCAAACACTCATCTTGCCCAATATCTCTCACCAAGAAAACACAGTGGTTAAGGAATACTTCTTGTTTATAAAATTCTAATAAAGCAGAAAAGAATAGTGAATGACTTTCTGTAAACCTTCTCTGTCTCTCTGTATGTATGTGTTTATATAAAATGTATATATATACTTGCTTGCTGAAAGTAAAGAGGACTTAAAATACTTGCTGATGAAGAACAAAGACCATAGCCTTTGCTGTGGATTGCATCTCAATGTAAAGAAAATAAAAATGCTCACCACTGGACCAACAAACAACATTTTTATCAATGGAAAAAAAAATGAAGTTGTCAAGGACTTCATTCCTGGATCAACCATCAACACAAATGGAAGCAGCAGCCTAGAAATTGAACAACGTATTGCATTAGGCAAATCTGCTGCACAAGACCTTTTTAAAGTGTTGAAGAGTAAAGATGTTAGATTGAGGACTAAGGTGCTCCTGATATGCATGTGAAAGTTGGATAGTGAATAAGGAAGATCGTAGAAGAATTGATGTAGTTGAGTTATGGTGTTGAAGGAGAATATTGAAAGTGCCATGGGCTTTCAAAAGAACAAACAGATCCGTTTTGAAAAAGTGCAGCCAGAGTCCTCCTTGGAGGCCAAGATGGCCAAACTTTGTCTCTCATAATTCGGACATATTGTCAGGAGGGACCAGTTGCTGGAGAAGGATATTATGTTTGGTAAGTTGGAGGGTCAGAGAAAAAGAGGAAGACCCCTGGGAGATGAATTGACCAAGTGGCAGCATCAATGGGCTCAAGCATAGCAACAATAGTTGGACTGGGCAGTGTTTTGTTCTGTTGTGCATAGGGTCGCTGTGAGACCGTACCGACTTGGTAAGGGCTGTGGGGTAAAAAGCCTCAGCCTTTGCTCAGCATACAAACTGAATAAGTATAATGAGAGCATAAAATCCTGGCTCACACTTTTCCTGAGTTTTAAACTACTCATTGATACCTTGTTTTGTTCGAAACTCTTGCTCTGTGCACAGATTTCTCATGAGCACAATGAACTGTTCTGGAATGCTCCTTCTTTGCAGTGTTATCATAGTGTTTTGTTTTGTTTTTTAAGCTTTTGTCGTGAATTGAGTGACAGTTTACATGCAATAATATCGGTTTTTGCACTCATCTTACTGCATTTTGTTTCATTGCAATGATTACAATCCCCTGCATGCATCACCATCTAACAGTATTTGCTTCTATTCCCTCTGTTTTTCTTTCTTTCTTTCTTTTAATGTACACAAATACACTCAGGAATGTATAATCATTTAGACAACCAAAATGCACAGTCTGCAAGCCTGCCTCTTGGCCACCAGCATACAGCCTTTCTCTTTTTATGAGTCTAGAGTCCTCAGCTGCTCTATCTCTCCAGGTCATCACCTCTGCCTCCATCTCTAGTGTCACTGCTTCTGTGGTTAGGGTCCCATGTTCGTTCTGCTCATGCTCTTCTCCCTTGATGGTCCTAGGGTCCTCTGTTCCTGGAATGTAAGATTAACTACTCCCCCCTTGATATTAACAAAAAACTTCTACCTTTACAGCTGTGACAATTGCAGTTAGTCATGATAACAATTACTCACTATTGAATCAAAAGAATTCTTTCCTCAACTCCTTTCACCGGACCCATTTAGATAAGATGAAAACTATTCAGTGGGGATTCTACCTTCCCCTGCACTGTGAAACTCAACTCCCTCTTGAAAACTTGTAAGCCAGCCACTTTGTGCCTTTATAGTCGTCCCCCTCCCCATTTTAGGTGGCCAATGTCTAAGTTTCCCATCCCTATCAACCTTGTGTACAGAGGGGATAGGTTTGATACTTGATGTGAAGACTCATTCCCTCTTTGTTGGTATTTTGAGCCACTACACCCATAAGTATAGGTTAAATTTATTGAATTGTATCAATTTGCACCTCCTTCCCTTAACAGATTTCTTTATCTTCTTCTAGTCGAGCTCTGGTCATCAAGCCATTTGAAGTTAGGTCAAATGGGTACTATCTGCAAGTTTGGGCATGTTTGTGCTTCTTCCCCCACTTCATATTAGCTAGACACTTCACTCTCAGCTCGAGCCCACGTTGACTAGGTCAGTGTGTCCATGGGCTCAGGAGTTCCCAAGTTTCCCCAAACTTCAGACCAACCATCCCTTCCTTTTCTCTCTCTCATCTCAAGGTTGACAGGGGTCTATGGTGAATGACTGCCTTTTAGTCTATGTACAAGTTCCTCATGAGCAAAATTAAGCCTTCTGGAATACTTATTCTTCACAATATTATCCAAAGTTTGTTATGATTGACACAGTTGAATGCTTTAATTTTGTTATGATTGTCAAGCACAAGTAAGCATCTTTTTGGTACTCTCTGCTTTGGACCAAGATCCATTTGATGTTAGCAATGATATCCCTACTTCCATGCCCTCTGCTGCAACAGTTTTTTAATTACCTTCAGCAACATTTCCCTTAACATATGATAATAATGATATTGTTCAATGATTTCTGCATCCTGTTGGGTCACCCATCTTTGTAATGGGCAGAAATATGGATCTTTTCCAATGAGCCAGCCAGGTAACTGCCTTCCAAATTTTGTAACATAAGATGACTGAGCACCTCGAGCACTCCATCAATGTGTTGAAACCTTTCCATTTTTATTCTGTCATTTCCCAGAGCCTCGTTTTTCACCAATGCCTTCAGTGCAGTTTGTACTTCCTCCATCAATACCATTGGTTCTTGATCTTATACTCCCTCTTAAAATGTTTGAGCATCGACCATTTAGTTTTGGTACATTAACGGTTTAATCTTTCCATGTTATTTTGATGCTTCCCACATCATTCAAACTTTTGTTCATATTGCAACCCAAGGTTTGAAATTTTTCTTAAGTTACTTTAGCTTGAGAAATGCTGAACATGTTATTCCCTTTGATTTTCTAACTCCAGGTCTTTGCACATTTCCTCATAAAACTTTGTCTTCTCGAGCTGCCCTTTACAATTTTCTGTTGAGCTATTTTACTTGGTCAGTTCTTCCAATCATTTGGCCTCTATGCTCAAGAGCAAGATTCAAAGTCTCTTCTGACATCCATTTTGGACTTTTCATTCTTTCCTGTCATTTTAATGACCTTTTGCTTTCTTTATGTATGATGTTCTTGATGTCATCCCAGATTTCTTCTGGTCTTTGGTTGTTAGTATTTAATGCATGAAATCTCTTCTTGAGATATTCTGTAAATTCAGATGGGATATGCTCAGGGTCATATTTTGGTTCTTTTGACCTTATTTTAATTTTCTTCATCTTCAGCATGAACTTGCCATATGAGCTATTTATTTCACTGTTGTCCCCAGACCTTGTTTTAGATGATGTTATTGAACTTCTCCATCATTTCTTTCCATAGATGCAATCAATTTTCGTTCCTATGTATTGCATCTGCTGAGTTCCATGTGTATATTGTTGTTGTTATTGTTGGTGTTAAATGCCACGGAGTCGGTTCCAACTCATAACGACCCTGTATATGGTTTCCAAGGAGCATCTGGTCAGTTTGAATAATCATTTGTCTTTCAAAATTCTATCATGGGCTTTCCAGCATCATTTCTATAACCAAGGCCACAGTTTCTAGCTATTAATCCTTCATCTTTGTCTCCAACTTTTGCCTTCCAGTCACCAGTAATTATCAGTGCATTTTGATTGCATGTTTCATCAATTTCAGACTGAAGAAGTTGATAGAATTCTTCAATTTTATCATCATTTTAGTAGTTGGTGCATAAATTCAATAGTAGTATCAATTAGTGTTTCTTGTAGGTGTATGGGTTGTAGTTATTGATTGTACTTCAAGTAGATATCGAACTGTTTTTTTGTACAATGAATGTGACACCAATCCTTTTTAATCTGTCATTCCCGCCACAGTAAATCATATGATTGTCAGACTCAAAATGGCCAATATCCACCCACTTCCACTTAGTGCCTGGGATATCGATGTTTATGTGTTCCATTTCATTGTAGTTGACTTCCAATTTTCCTAGATTCATATTTCATTCACTCCATGTTCTGATTATTACTGTATGTTTGCAACTGTTTCTTCTCATTTTGAGTTGTGCCTAATTAGCAAATGAAGTCCTGGGAGCTCTGGTCCCTCCACAATCATTAAGGTCAACTGTTTTTTGAGGCGGCAGCTCTTTCCCAGTCACGTTTTAAGTGCCTTCCAACCAGGGGTCTCATCATCTATAACAATATCTGACAATGTTCCACTGTTACTTAAAAATTTTCTGTTGCTAACCACTCAGAAGTGGTTAGCCTTCTTCCTAGTCTGGTTTAGTCTGGAAGCTCCTCTGAAATCTTTCCATCCTGGGTGACCCTGCTGGTGTGGAAAATAATGGTGGCATGGTTTCCAGAGTCACAGAAACATGCAAGCCACCACAGCACGACAAACTGACAGACAAGTGGAGATTT